GACTATCGAATGGTTACTGAATGAATGATTTCAATTATCGAATGGTTTCATTCGAATAAAATCATTCATTCATTTGTATAATACTTTGTGCGACTAAATGGTTATCGTTAAGCCACGACTATCGAATGCTTTTGATAAATGAAATTTAGTATTCGTTTGATTTTTGTGTGAGTCAGTGCATTATTAGTTCTTCCAAATTTTTATAACTTGCCTTCTAGATACTGTGCTATTTTTGCGTTTATTAAAATATTTAAAATACTAAAGTAGTAGTGTTTTTTTTTTAAATTGACGATTCTATGCGTGTGGTGGTTAAAATTTTTCCGAAAATTTGTGTGATTTTCCGATCTTTCAATTATTTAATTTTATGCGGCATATGGTCTATTTTTTTAATGGAAAATTTTGAGAAGTAACAATTTTTCAGAGAGATGAGGTGAACTTACAATTAATTTTAAAAATACATATGTATTTGTATTTTAGATGTTTTAGTAATATGAATTAGTTGAACTTAATAATCATATTTAAGTAATGTGGTAATGTGGTTATCGAAGTAAAAAAAAAGTAAATGGTTATCGAAGTCAAATTTTGGGATGAGAAAATTAAATTGATTGATTAAAGTTTTACACGTGCCAATTTAAAAAAAAGTTAACGATATTTGTATTTTGTTTATGCTAATTCTCTTACATGTAGATTTTTGCGAAGAAATATTTCATTTATTTTTTAAAGTAAATGCCAGTAAAAGCAAATACTATTTTTAAATACTAATACAAAGTAATAAAATGAAATACACATATATAATTTTGATTTCTAATTTTTTATTTATATTTTTCTTCTATTACACAGAAAATTAATAAATATGTTTATATTTCATGATTTTAAAATTTGTTGGTAATATAACAAATTAGTTCTGTAATTATTATTATTTAATAAACCAACGTTGCCACAAAAAATTTAGAGACTATATTATTTTTAAATAGGATCTAATATAAATAATTTTGACTTCTAATTTGTTTATATTTTGCTACTACTTAAAAAAATGTTTATATTAAATGATTTTAAATTTTGGTGTTAATAGGTATAACAAATTATTACTGTTATTATTATTTATTAAACCAGTTTCGCTTAAAAACATTAAAAATAATTTTCCTACATCCAAAATAAAAAGTATTATTGAAGTGTAACAACAGAATATTAATAAAAAATGCAAAATATATAGTCATACTATCCCTAACTAACTATAATACCAAAGAATAATATTCTTTGCTAATACCAACTAATACGAATATACGGCAACAGCGCCGTTCATAATGTATTTTTTGTGTAAATACTAGCCCCTCAATAAAAAAATAATGTGTCCTTATCTTTATCTGACTCAAAATCAAAGATGCCGGCTTTCTTCATACCATTGCCACCGACCGCCGACCGCTGTCGGGTTTCTAGGAAAGAAACCTACGTCGCCGGGCGACAACTAAAATCCAGTTTATATTTTACTATAATCGATCCTGACGAATAAATGAATTTTACAAATGAATGAATTTTATAAATGAGTGGTTTTTGCTGCCGAATTAATATATTTCAAGGCAGATAACGCATCTATTCGATATTTTTATTCGAATAGTTTTCGACGAATGTTTTCTTACTAGCTATCGAATTATTCGAATGAATTGCAACTATCGAATGTTTCGATAGTATTCATTCGATAGTTCCCACTACTAATTATGATTGTGGATGTCCCTAACAAACGTACAATTATTAAGAAGATGTTTGGGTAATAAATTATTTAACATTTTGTATATAAACACCATTGTATTATGTGTTACCGTTTGTTTTACACTTAACAAATTTGTACTTTTTAACATATCCAGTCTACTTGTAAATTTAAATACATCTTATGATTGTTCGAAGGGCTTTGTTTTGCTTTTTTTGCAGTACATCAATTTCAGAATTATTCATTAAAAACAAAAGTGTTGAACAAAAATAGAGATGTGGTGGTATGATGGTTTTATATGCTGTCAGTCTTGCCCAAAAACTATTGCATTAAATGTAACGACAATTTGGCTCGAAATACCAAGTATTTGGTGCCAAATTAGAGCGTCCGCACACGGGTCGTCTGGCTTTCGAAGCGGAAGCGTCTCGAACTCTACCTTCGTAGGTAAATAATAGTAGCAATGACTCTGACTCCGCGTACCACCAAACGACCCGTTCGTGGACCAACTATTATTTACGTAGGAAGTATAATGGAGGGAGATTCGTTCCAAGTTCGAGACGCTACCGCTTCAAGTTTGAGACGACCCGTGTATGCACGGTCTTATTCGTAAATAAATGCTTTTTCCAAATATGCTAATGAGCTCAATTGAAAAAATTGAATATGATTAAAAATAAGATTTAGGCAACTTTTAACAGGCTAGAAAAAGACACGAAAAACATTAGGGGATCAAATCTATTTTTCTAAAGCATCTTGGATTAAAAATTAAAATAATATATTTTTTTAATTTGGAATGGTAAAAGTTGACATAAGATAATATGGCATTCTATTCAGAATGCCATTTTCTATAAAAACTAAAAAATACCGAGTGTGTCATTTAAAAATCGTTGTAGTAATTTCAAGTGATACAAAAAGTGACCGAAACTAATTGAATACCTGGAAGATTTTTTCTAGAACAATAAAAGTTTTAAGAGCGAGCCACTTTTAAAAAACACCTGGTATAAATAATGTTTTAATTCGATTTACTGCCATGTGATGTTGAAAGTAATTTCAATGTCAATTTAGTATTATTCCTAAATTGACATTGAAATTACTTAAGTTTCCACTTTTTTTAATGTATTATTTAACATCTGGCATTTCGACTCCAAAAATAGTGGGCACTAAAGTGAAGTGTCGTGCGTTGAAATCGATATTGATTCGTTATTGGGTTATTTTTGTCAAATAATTAATTAGTGTAGTGTAGTATTTAGTTGTGTAATAAATTAAATGTAGTGATATAATAATGAGTCTATGCTTAAGCATGGGTTCATTATTAAATTTTTTGGCCCATATCTTAATTTATTTCATTCAGTAGAATATACAATTAAGTGTTCAGCGCAGTGGCGCATCTAGAGATTGAGTCTGGGAGGGGTAGTGGTAGTAAGTAAATTATTGATTAAATGGTACTATATGTATAGGTTTGAATTAAATTTGAACTAAAATATATTGTGACTGTAAAAAACTACTCTGGGATTAGTCTGGATCTTCTATTTTAACGATATTAATAATTTCTTTTGTGGAAACTTTACTTTATTCCAGATTCTAATTTATTTATAAATGTCTTCCTAGGAGCGGTAATTACCCCCATTACCTTTTCCGTATATGCGCCCGATTCAGCAAAAAAATATATTAGTCATGCTAATTCAAAAGTATATAATTTTGCAAATGCTTTCTGTCGAAAAGATATTCTCTCCCCGGATAGACTAAATCTAATCACTTTTTTTGCCTTGAAAAGTATTAGAAATTCTACAACCACATGCTTTCTTTTAAAGTCTTTGATGTAATGCGCAAGTTTATAATATATTTTTTTAAGTTTATAATATTAAAAATTCCTTTAAAGTCATACAATATTAGTATAAGGCCGCTATTACACTATAAAATTTCTTTGCCAAAGATCTTTTATAAAATATATTTCAAGAAAAATTTGACAGTGTTAATATACAATATTTTATAAAATCAGACACTGTAAAATTCTTCATAAAATATCTTTTAAACAAAATCTTTGACAAAGAAATTTGATGGTGTAATAGCGGCCTTACACTGTCTAATTTTTCATCAAATATCTTTTATAAATGATCTCTTAATTTTATAGTGTAACAGCGGCCTTAGGCATATAAAATTTCTTTGTCAAATATTTTATTTTATCCATGAATTTGATAGTGTAATATATGTGACTTTTTAAAATATTGTATAATAGTAATAGTAGCCTTATGACACTATCAAATTTCTTTGTCAAAGATCTTTTATAAAATATATTTGATGAAAAATTTGACATTGTTAATATACAATATTTTATAAAATCACACATATTACTGGCCTAATATGTGAGATTTTATAAAAAATTGTATATTAACATGGGCAAATTTTTCATAAAATATCTTTTATAAAAGATCTTTGACAAAGAAATCTGATAAGTCTAATACTGGCCTTAGGCTACTATTACACTATCAGATTTCTTTGCCATCTTTTATTAAAGATACTTTAAGAAAAATTTGACAGAGATAAGAGATAATACACAATATTTTATAAAATCACACACTGTCAAATTCTTCATAAAATATCTTTTAAATATCTTTGACAAAGAAATTTCATAGTGTAATGGCGGCCTTACACTGTCAAATTTTTCTTCAAATATCTTTTATAAATGATCTTTGACAAAGAAATTTTATAGTATAACAGCGGCTTTAGGCTAGTATTACACTATCAAATTTATTTGTCAAAGATTTTATTTTGCCAAAGAACTTGACAGTGTAATATGTGTGATTTTATAGGATTTTATAAAATATTGTATATTAACACTGTCAAATTTTCATCAAATTTCTTTGTCAAAGATTTTATTTTGTCAAAGAATTTGATACTGTAATATGTGTGATTTTATAAAATATTGTATTAACACTGAAATTTTTCATCAAATATCTTTTATAAAAGATTTTTGACAAAGAAATTTTATAGTGTAATAGCGGCCTTAGTTATTACCTACTGACTATCATTTTAATGTAGGAAAATATTGTTCCACTCCAAAATATAATAATCTACTATATCGTCGGTATACAACCAAACCCACTAAGACCAAAAAAGAATAATTTTTGAGTGCATTTTTACTGAAAAGTACAACACTAACAAAAATAAACTTCTGACAGATATCTAGTCAAATGATATAAATAAGTCGTTATGAAATAATTGGACTTGTGATGTGTGATTTGCTTGTAGACCAACAATATTTGATATTAATAAATAAATAAATAAAAAAAATACAAACCCCTAGTACTTTCATTTTTTCACATGCCATCCATCCCATGAGCCAATCGATTTCATATGAATGATTCATAATGCAATATCCATGTTCCTTGCCATAATACCTCTCCCAATCATCTTTATCAATATAAAGTTTTAGTGTCACATTTGCCCACCATTCAGCAACAGAAACCAATTCTTTAATTTTTTATAAATAAATATAAAACAGTATTATTATACAAAATAACAACTATACTTACGTGAATATATAGTATAGCACAAATACCAATTTATTTTACGATACAATGATTTATTAAATGGCTTTAACGTAAAATAGAATACTGCTTGAATTAGATTTACAATAATACCAGATGTAAAGAATGTCATTGCAAAACATAAATGTAACATTCTAGACCTTTTTAAAGCTGTTAAATTCATTTTTGTAACTAATAAACTACACTATTAATAATACTTAATTTTATATGTATACCTATACTGTTTCAGCAAACTCTAATTTATATTCTATATAATTGTATGTAGTATGTAGTTTACGAATATCAGTAATTTACCAGAATCAATAATTCATTAATATACATTAATATAATTTTACTGAAAATTTGTTAATACTTGGTTACTCTTCCAGATTATTTATTTCTAGCCACAATTTTTTACAGGCTCTTTTACAGATAAACCTGGTTGATATTAACTTAATAGCCTTAATCTTAATAGCTACAATTAATAGACAACTTCTTGTGTACTAAAACGGATAAATTAATTCTGTGATTAAAATAAAAACAATTTACAATTCATCATAAAAATAACCTATTTCGAATTAGGAATGCTATGTATTTATTTATAAAGGAAAAGAATATCGATCAATGCAATGTGATTATCTATGGCAAAAAGTAATACTCTGTGGCCCCAAAAGTAGTTCCTTTGGCTCAAGGACTGTTCGATCGCGTAAAATCGCCGCTGTCGTAGTCGCCGTGGGTGCTTACGTCACGCAGGGACCAGCGCTCCAGCGACCTTGGTTCTTTGTCCGGCACCCTCGAAATAACATGTAGTGTCGGTGCCCGGTGGTAGTACCGGCACGGCACATAAAACAATCGGCACGCCAACTCTACTCAGATTCCATTGTTTAAAATTTCTATAAAATTTGACCTTGTCGGCGCCATTATGGTTTCCTAGTCAGGGCCGGATTAAAACGTATTAAAAAATTTCTCAGAAAATACGACAGGGTCGTATTAAAAAAATACTGTAATTGACTGAAACTGAATTTTATTTACAATACTTTTGTCCAAACAAATGAATCGTTAACCGCGCATACTTCTCGAAAAGTAAAAATGAAAAAATCAATTAAATATTTCATTGTAGAGAATAGACAATTAAAATTAAAAAACATGCCAGGAGTTACAAACAAGAATTAAAAAAATACCAATAAAATATTTATTGAACAATATAAAGAGGCTACGTACAAATTATGCCCATCAATGGGCGTAGCAAATTTTATTAATATTCAAATTTCACAAATTAATAAATCCACAATTCTTTTTGAGAAACTTCTATTTTTTTCATGGCAGGAAACAAAGTAGGTACCGCATTGTATTTTATACGGTTACAAAGTGAATTGGTAAACATTTTAAATTCAAAGTGAACAGAACACAACCTGTACTTGTGGGCCGCCTTATTTATATCTTCAACCAAGTCATCTCTATTAGATGCAATTGCCCATGTTCTTGCCCTAAAAATGTATTGTTAACTTGTTACTAATCTATTATTATTTTCGATATACTCATTTTATTTATTTTTATAATTTTATTTAAATTAATAATATAATTATTTTTAAATTTAATGTTGAATGTCTAGATACAACATTAAATTTTACTAAATATTTAACATTTTAATCTTGCTAATATTTTATATACATATAGGGTGAGTCTTGAATAAGTGCAAATATTTTCAGGGGTGGTATATTTCGACCCCAGGAACACGTTTATGAGTTTTTTTTCGCTAAAAAAAATATTGAATATCGTGCATTTTCTTTTAACTTCCCTGTATATTTTTCGAAAACTTTTTGGAACTGCCTGTTCACCGCAAATTGTCCCACGGTATAATTTCTTAATCTCTGATCAAGTCTCTGATATTACCATAGTTACGGCTTTACTCTATGGCTGCGGCACTAAAAGGGATGCAAATACAGAAAAAATCCGGTGGCTCTCAACTCAACATTTAAAAAAAAACATTTTTTTTAAACTTAAATAACTCGGTTATTTTGGATTTATCTGAAAAAGTAAGGAGAAAATATATTTCTTTTATCGAGATCTGCCAGCCCTGAAAATATTTGCACTTATTTAAGACTCACCCTGTATATAAGTTTGTTAACATTTAATATAGATGCTGAACTTGTATATTTTTAATTAGATCTTTCTATTTAGCTGAATGTCCTAATATGTATACTACTGTTTTTTTGGTAATGGTGTGGATCCGGTGGCTGACCTTGAAACGAGTTTTTGCTGTATATAGTCACAGACCCTACGCATGCGCACATCTTCGATGTTGCCAGATTGCAAGTTATTTTGGAATTATTTTCAGTAGAAAACAAATATGTGCTTTTCAGTGTTTTTTTGTCAATATATACCATATGATCGAAAAAACGGCGTCCAGTTCGCTGGAAAATGACGATTGAGGACATTTCCATAAAATGACAGCGATCTTCATTTCATAGTCATTGCTGACGCTATTTTTTTTTCAATCATAGTACAGTACGTCCATGGCATGGTACAAAGAATACAAGGTATGATATTGCGCAGGTTGGTCGCTACGTCACAGGTGATAACAGGCGCTATTGGTCAGCACGCTCCGCGCTTCAGTTCAAATCGTCAAGATATTGTTATAAACCGCAGTACGTCGGTCCGTTCTGTAGCTACGGGGAATCCGTGAGAGGGGAAACGATATTCTCTCGATGTTTTTCGTAAAAAAATAGACGACGCGTCCCATCAATAAAAATTCAAGAAATTAGCAAGTAGCCAATAAAATGAGTGGGCGGAGCGATTTGCGGTGACGCAGTCGTCAAATCGACGTATAAAATATATTGCTGTTTATTTAAATGTTTTTTGTCCGCATTCCTTTCATAGACACAGATCCAGCAGACGTACTGTAATGTATTCTACGACACAAACCATCTCCCTTCTAAAGAGAAAAAGATAAAACATAAAGCTTATTCAGCTTATTTTAGTATTATCAACACACTCTTCGATAAAATATATGTCTAAAAATTGCTATTAATCCACTATATTTTTAAGAAATTATGATACAAACATTATAATCAAAATATATTATATTAGTAACATTATAGGTAAAATGTTACCTCTATCTCATTGACGTGTATATTGTTCTATAAGACTTGTCATGATAGTACTTCAATACATCAATACATATAATCAAAACTATTGTTGCCTGTAAATAACTAGAAATTAAATAATTCTAAAAAGTTTAAAACCATTAAGAAAAAATCCGTAAGTGATAATTTTTAATTCTAATGTAAATATATATAATAAATGTTATCATTATTACAATTTTATATATTCATAATACTTTCATTTCACAATCTTCATTATCCCTTCAATTCAATTCATATTCTTCTTACCTTAATTTTGGATATCAAGATTAATCTGAAATTATAAAATTAATTATAGAATTTGTATTATTATTGATTAACACTAAAAAAAATTTTAACTGCAAATAATTCGAAAATAAACTTCAATTTGGCAACATCGACGATGTGCGCTTGCGTAGTATCGATGATCAAATGCAGCAAATATGGGCTTCAAGGTCAGCCACCGAATTTACCGTTTTTTTAACTAAAATATGTTAAAATAATTAATCACATATGTATATACATACCTAATCGGATCTCTAGGAAACAGAAAGAAACTTTTATTGCAGTTTAGTCCTCTACTCGGGCAGTTTTTTGCTGCACAACTTCGCCCAGGCATTTTAAAAACACGTAAAAATTAACGATTTAAAAAATGTTCAGAAAACAAAAAATAAATTATATAACCCAAAAAACGAAAATAAACTAGAAAAACCAAATATATAACACAATAAACAAAAATAAAACAACAACTATAAAATATAACTCAAGAAATAAACAAAATAAATTAATCCGTACGCTACTGACTCGAATCAGCCGAAAGTGTGCGCAGTCGATGAAAGAAACTACGACACTGGTTACTTTCTGTTGATGGAAACCCTAATGGCGGCGTGCGCGACGGTATGCGCGTAGCGTTCCCGCCAAAGAGAGTTAGCCTGCCGTGTGATTTATATGCCGTGGTACCGGTTTGTCTCGTTTGTCTAATTAAATTAATGTAGAAATCAAAATTTTAAAGCCCAACCCTGCCAAAGCAGTCAGCATATATCTGTGGTCATCTCTGGTCAGCATTATCTCTGTCAGCGGTCAGCGTTGCCTGTTGCCAGGGTTGTTAAGTAGTTTATGAAGCAAAAAACTACGCCAAAAACTACGCGTAGTTTTTTGTATTGACTACGTTTTAAAATTTTAAAAACTTCCTTCAAAAACAACATAAAAACTACATTAAAAACACAAATTAGTAAATTAGTATACACAAAAATATAGTAAAACATAAACAATTTAGATTTTAAACAAAAATCAAGCCAGATTCTTATCATGGAAGTATGAAGTTATACCGTATGATCGAATAAAAACGGCGTCAACGATGGCTATGAAATGAAGATTTCTGTCATTTTATATGTAAAATTCTTTGAAGTAAAATTATATGGGAATGTCATCGATCGTCATTTCCAAGCTAACTGGACGCCGTTTTTTTCCGATCATACGGTATTTGTATAAGTTCAGAAAGAAAATACAATTTTTTTTCAATAAAAGCGTATTTTCTATGAAATACAAAGTAACTATTAAACACAAAATAAACTATAAATTCTAATTTTTAACTACAAAGTATCAAAAATATTACATAATAAAGACCAAATTCACAAAATATAGATATTAGATATAGGTTGTTTTCACCGTTATTTTAAAAAACTACATTAGTTACATAAACTACACATTTACTACTCGACATTTAAAAACTACTTTTGACATGTAGTAAATGTAGTTTATTAATTACTACGTGTAGTTTAACAACTCTGCCTGTTGCCGGTTGCAGCTCCAGGGTTGCAGGTTCGGAAAAATATATTTTATAAATATGTACTTTATACAATTAGTTCTGTTATATCTGTGACTTTATACACAATAAGAAGGCGAAAAGACCTAAGCACAGCCTAAGGCAATCTTAAGGTCTCCATAATGTACATCATTGGGTGTACATGTATTTTTTTTGTAAGTGTATTTTTACATTAAAACGTAACATAGAAAAGAGATGCGAAAACGCTCATCCCTGTTACAAAGAAAATATAAACAAGGCTGTTACAAATACCGCTTAGGTTTCGAAGTATATCGATCGATACCAGATCGATACTTTGATAGTATCTTTTCGGTTTTTTGACACATCTCTAATTACCAAATTTAGAAATAGAAATGGTAAATGGCTTTATTAGACCTTTAGACAAGGAAAGAGAGGGGACAGGTAACACGGCAGCTGAAAGTGAGGCCACTAGTCACCAGGCGAAAGTTCCCAATGGCGTAGCATCAGAAATTAGCTTGTACCTAGACGATAATTTTTTTTTTATTAAAACGTTAACTAATATATCGTTTATTTTTGAGTAATGCATATACAATTTTGTATTTTATAGTCTCACCTTTATAATATTAGAATATCTAAGCCGATAATGCAAAATTTGTTTAACAGTCACAGTGAACTGATCATCAAGACAA